ACACAATCCAGTCTTGTAGATCAGGTCCTGCCTTACTAACACAACTGCCACCCATCCTCCCTCATTAACATCATAGAGGCAGGTTTACAACATACAGGAAAATCACACAGTACCAGGAATCATGGCCTAGCCAAACTGATACACACATTTTTGGGGGGATGTAGTTCAAACCATGACAAGGAGTGTGTGTATGTGTGTTCATTTTCTCACACGAGAAAAAAGATGTAAGCCTAAGATCATGGCCTGATTACATCTCATTTTTACATCTAGTACCTCATTAACATAGTTTTTACATAATCTAGGTTTAAATATTGAGACCCAGTGGTTGACCTGGGGCCATCTTGAAGCCCCACTGTCTCCCAGACAGGAGTTTCAGTAATACCCTTGTAACAAGCCCATAATATTCTCCTCTTTCTTTTTCTTTAGGGATAGTACGGACTCAGGAACCAAACAGTTCAAACTCAGAAGAAATAGAAGAGCAGTTAGAAGGAGAGCCAGGTTGGTCTTAGGACATGAAGATTGAGTAAGCTAAGTGAAGCATACCTTTCCTTGCTGCCCTCTCTCACTCCTCTTGGGAACTCCATCTCTCTGAAATCTCATTTTCTTTACTTATAATACAACCAATTGTCTCGTGGAGAATGCTCCTTTCCCACAAGAATAGAGGGCAAACTGGACATTGGAGCAAATCAGAATCCAAAACCAAAAAACCAAATTCATTGCTGTCGAGTAGTTCCGACTCAAGGTGATCCTATGGGACAGAGTACAACTGCCCCCTAGGGTTTCCAAGGAGCAGCTGGTGGATTCGAACTGCTGACCTTCTGATTAGCAGCCAAACACTTAACCACTGCACCACCAGGGCTCCAATCAGAAACCAGCTCTTATAAAGTTATAAATATACTATATAGCATTTCTTAGATTTTGGAAGTCCAGGTTATCAGATAAGTTTAATAATAACTGGAGAACACTGAGAACTATTGCAGGTAGGCGACTTGCCTAAGCTGACTTGATGGTCAGTCTAGGATTGTTGATGTTGGTTGTTGTCAGTTGCCATCGAGTCGGCTCTGACTCATGCTGACCTTGTGTATAACAGGAGGAAATGTTGCCTAGCCCCATGCCGTCTTCATGATTGTTGGTATGTTACGAGTTCATTGTTGTGACTGTTGTGTCAATCCGTCTCACTGGGGGTTTTCTTGTTTTCGATGACCCTCTACCAAACATGTCCTTTTCTAGCATTTGGTCTTTCCTGATGACGTGTCCAAAGTAAGCAAGGCAAAGTCTCTCCATCCCTGCTTCTAAGGAGCATTGCCGTTGTATTTCTAATCTAAGAGTCTCTCAAGTCTGCCTGGTGTTATTTTTTCAGTTTTATTGAAGTACAGTTATACACTATAAACTTCCACTTGTTTTAAGTGTATAATTCAGTGATTTTTTTGTAACTTAAAGAGTTATGCAGCAATCAACACTATCCAATTCTATAACAGTTCCGCCACTCCAGAAAGATCCTTTGCGCCCATTTGCAGTGACTCCCTGACCTCCACCCAGAGGCAACCGCTAGTCTACTTTCTGTCCCTCTAGATTTGCCTTTTCTGGACACATGTGGTCTTTGGGTCTGGATTCTTAAACTGTTTTTACTCAGCATAATGTAGTTTCCTCTGTTATTACATGTATCATTGAGCCAGTCCTTCTTATTGGCTGAATAATACTCCATTGCATGGATATACCACATTTTTATTATCCATTCACCAGTTGGTGGATCTCACTATTTTTACATTTTAACTATTATGAATAATGCTGCTACAACATTCATGTGCAAGTCTTTGCGTAGACACTTTCATTTCTCTTGGGTGATAACTTAGGAGTTGTCTGGTATTTTAGACCGGTAGCTTGCCATTAGTATTGCTACTCAGATATTTGAGTAATCAATTGAGGCTACTATGGTGATGATCTATGTCTTGCTCTCCTGGCACTTATTCTAGTTCAGTGGAAAAGATAAGTAGTTACAATAAAGTGTTGAGTTTTGGTTTAATTTTATTTTGTTATTGTTGTGAATATATACCGCAAAACATACACCTATTCAACCATTTCTTCATGTACAATTCAGTGACGTTGATTCCATTCTTCCAGTTGTGCAATCATTCTCACCCTCCTGAGTTATTCCACCTCTATTAACATAAACTCACTACCCCCTAAGGTTCCTATCTAATCTTTTCAAGTTGCTGTTGTCACTTTGATCTCATATAGATAGTTCTTAAAAGAGCATAATGCTCAAGGCAGACATTTTTTACTACTTAAGCTAAACTATTGTTTGGTCTTAAAACCAAAAATACCCCCTGAATTCTTAAGTTTTAAAGATTATCTCAGGGTAATAGTTTCAGGAGTTCGTCCAGTCCCCATGGCTCCAGAAAGTCTGGAGTCCATAAGAATTTGAAATTCTGTTCTGTTTTTCCTCCCTGTTGATCAGGATTCTTCTATAAAATCTTAAGTAATCGTAGCTGGGCACCATCCAGTTCTTCTGGTCTCATGGCAAAGGAGGCAGTTGTTTGTTTATATAGGCAATTAGCCAGACATTCCATATCCTCCTCCTGTTCTTGTCCCCCCTTCTCTTGCTCCAGGTGAATAGAGACCAATTGCCCTGCATTGGATGTCTGCTTGCAAGTATTTAAGACCCCAGGCACTACACAACGGTTGAGTTTTATTTTTAAAACAACAGCAATTTATTCTTAACTCTGGAGGCTAGAAGCCCAAGGTCAAGGTTTCAGCAGGGCCCATCTCCCTCTGAAAGTTCTAGGGAAGAATCCTTCCTTGCCTTTCCAGTCTCTCATGGCCCCAGATGTTCCTTGGCTTGTGGCAGCATAACTCCCATTTCTATGTCTTCATCTGGCTGCCTTCTCTGTGCGTGTATCTCCCCTGTGTCTATGTGTCTTTTCTGTGTCCAAATCTCCCTCTCCTTTCGCTTACAAAGACACCACTCCTTGGATTTAGGGCCTACCTTATATCCAGTATGTTTTTATCTCAATGATCCTTAAATAATTACATCTGCAAAGACTCTTATTTCCCAATAAGGTCACATTCTGAGGTTCCAAGTAGACACGAATTTTGGGGGGACACTATTCAACCCACTATAGTATCTATTGTACATACTTTATTTTACTAATACCTATTCTTGGCACTGGGGATTCGCAGATGGCTAAGACACAAACATTGTTCTTTAGGAATTCATGGTCTAGTACAAGAGACACATGTGTTAAAAAAAAAAAAAAAAAGTGTAACACAGTGTAGCAATTGCTATAATGTAGTGTCATGATGAGTTTTGATAGCATATTTCTTCTTATGGCTCTACAGAGTAGAGACATGTCACTTGGTTTAGGGAGTCATCTGCCCTATTCATCATATCTCTACAAACACAGCCATTGTACCTCCCAGCACATAATGCGGACAAAGAATTCAGATTAGACTCTGAACTCTTCGGAGCCTACTTTATCAGGTTTCTGATAGAGGAAATACGACTATTCTTGTGCCAAGCCTACTCCATTTTGTTTTTTGTTTTTTTGCAGCGCTTATGCAAGTAGAGGGAGATGATCCCATAAACCTAGAAGCAAATGAGGGTTGGAAAGCAAAAAAGCCAGGTTGGTATCATATCTCCCTGGACTGAGTTTGGTGTTAGGGTTGTTCTTTGTAAATCTCACTTTTTATCTTTCCTTTACTATGTAATAGAAACTTTTCTTTTTTTTTCTTCCCCTTAATGAATAACCATTGTACCCTGTCCATCCCCTACCTTATATCACTGAAGGTAAAGAGGATAAGTTTAGGATTACATTGAAGAAGAAGTTTCGGCAAATCTGGAAGAGCAGCTTTAGCCCTGGAGCCATTGAAAGCTTCCATATTGTCACCCAGAGATACAAGATGCTGATCCCATTCTGTAATCCTAAAGTGCTGACAGGGCCATTTCCAGACACGGTGGTGCTTCAAGGGCCTGCTGGTGTTGGGAAAACCACACTGGCGAAAAAGTTGTTACTGGACTGGACAGAGGACAATCTCACAAAGACATTCAAGTATGCTGTCTATCTCAGCTGCAAGGAACTCAACCAGATGGGGCCGTGCACTTGTGCTGAGCTGATTTCCAAGGACTGTCCTGAGTTGCAGGATGCCATTCCGGAGGTCCTAACCCAATCACAGGACTCCCTGATCATCATTGATGGTTTTGATGAGCTGAGAGTCCCCCCTGGGGCACTGATCCGTGATATATGTGGTGACTGGAAGAAGCAGAAGCCAGTGCCCATCCTCTTGAGTAGTTTGCTGAAGAGGAAAATGTTCCCCAGAGCAACTCTCCTTATTACCACACGACCCTGGGCACTGAGAGAGCTCCGGCTCTTGGTAGAACAGCCACTCCTCATAGAAATGGAGGGCTTCTTGGAGATGGACAGGAAGGAGTATTTCTTGAAACACTTCCAAGATGAGGACCAAGCCCTGCGAGCTTTTGACTTGATGAAGAGCAATGCAGCCTTGTTCAGCATGGGCTCAGCACCCATGGTGTGCTGGATTGTCTATACTTGTCTGAAGCTGCAGATGGAAAAGGGGGAGGACCCCACACCCACTTGCCAAACCACCACATCGCTGTTCCTGCATTTCATCTGCAGCCAGTTCATGCTGGTGCCTGACAGGTGTCCCAGTCACTGCCTCCAAGCCCCAGTGAAGGCTCTGTGTCTCCTGGCAGCTGAGGGTGTATGGACACAGATATCTGTGTTTGATGGAGAAGACCTCAAGAGACTTGGGGTGAAGGAGTCTGAGCTCAGTCCTTTCCTGGACAAGAATATCCTTCAGAAGAGCAAGGACTGTGAAGGCTGCTACTCCTTCATCCACCTCAGTGTCCAGCAGTTCTTTGCTGCCATCTTCTATGTTCTGGGGAGCGAGGAGGAAGAAGACAGGGAGAGCCACAGTGGGAACATTGGGGATGTGCAGAAGCTGCTGTCCAAGGAAGAAAGATTAAAGAACCCCATCCTGACCCAGGTGGGATACTTCTTATTTGGCCTCTCGAATGAAAAGAGAGACAGGGAGCTGGAAACAACGTTTGGCTGCCGAGTGTCAAGGGAGGTCAAAGAGGAATTGCTGAGATGGAAATTGAAACCTGATGAGAACAAACCCTTCTCGGTGACAGGCATCAAGGAGGTTTTTTACTGTCTGTATGAATCTCAGGAGGAGGAGTTTGTGAAGGATGCAATGGCCCATTTCAAGGAAATGTCCCTAAAGTTGAAAAATGAAACGGACATCGTACATGCTTCTTTCTGCCTCAAGCATTGTCAAAATTTGCAGAAAATTTCACTGAAGGTTGAAAAAGGGATATTTCTGGAGAATGATACTTCCTTGGAATCAGGCTGTCAGGCTGAGAGGTAAGAGTTCTCATCTTCACTCTTGGTTTGCCTATCTTCATCATCCTCCTATGTTCCATTAGGCAGAGGCCAGAGTCTCCTATTCCCTTGTTGTTGTTAGTTGCTTTCAAGTCAATTCCAACTCATGGTGACCCCATGCGTGCCGAATAGAACTGTTCCAATAGGGTCTTCGAGGCTGTGACTTTTCAGAAGTAGATCACCAGGCCAGTCTTCTGAGGTACCTCTGGGTAGCTTCAAACTGCCAGTCTTTTGGCTAGTAGTCAGCTGGTAGTCGAGCACTTAACTGTTTGCACCACTAGGGACTCACTACTTTTCCTTTCCCTTAGGGTCATAATTTTTTCTCTTTCTGGACTTCCTTCCTGCTTAACATTCAAGGTGGGGAGCATGATGTTTTGATTAGGAATGGGGGCTTTGTAACCAGACCTTGCCTTTTTACTTATTTATTTTATTGTTAGCACCACATCTGCTAATTCAACATTTTTCACATATACAACTCATTGAGATCAGTTACATCAATCTTGTTGTGCAACCGTCACCAATATCCTCTGCCAAATTTTCCATCTTCATAAACAAAAACTCAATGCGTCCTAGACAATAACTCTCCTCCACTCTACTCTCTTCACCCCTGGTAACAGGGCTTCGAATTGGTTCATTCTGGGTGAACCCCTGCTGAAAATTTGTACTTCCACCCTAGATATACTGAATCAGAAAATACGTTTTGACAAGATCACTTAGTGATTCTTATGTATAATAAATTTTGAGAACCACTGCTCTGCTAGTCCGTTCTCCAAATTGGTCCCTAACCAGTAGCAGTATTAACATTGCCTGGGAACGTGTTAGAAATGCAAACCAGTTTGAAGCCCTCGCCTGGTAACCACTATTGAACTCTGATCTCTATATATTTACCTTTCTACTGTAGTTCGTATTCTTGATCATACAGTATTGTCCTTTTGTGATGGGCTTACTTTACTCAGCATAACGTTTTCAAACTTTAGCCATGTAATGCATGCATCAGGACTTCATTTCTCTTTATGACAAAGTAATATTCCATTGTACGTATATACCACATTTTGTTTATCCATTCATCTGTTGCTGGGTATTTGAATTTTTTCCACCTATTGGCTGCTGTGCGTAGTGCTGCCGTGAACATTGGTGTACGTGTCTGTTTTCATCACTGTTTTCAAGTCTCTTGGGTATATACCTTGTTGTTGGATGCCGCCAAGTCAATTCCTACTCACAGTGACCCCATTTGATAGACGAGAACTGCCCCATAGGGATCTCTAAGCTATAATCTTTATGGGAGCAGATCGCCAGGTCTTTTCTCCCATGGAGCTGCTGGGTGGGTTCAAACCACCAACCTTTTGGTTAGCAGCAGAGCACTTAACCATTGCACCACCAGGGCTCCTTCAGTATTCCAACTTTCTGATACACCATATTTTCAAGTGCCCTCACCATTTTCCTGAAAATTAAAATTTTTTTTCTGATTATAAAGACAACTGTACATATATGGAGCCCTGGTGGCATAGTGGTTAAGAGCTTGGCTGCTAATAAAAAAGTTGGCAGTTTGAATCCACCGGCCGTTCCACCAGCTGCTCCTTGGAAACCCTATGGGTCAGTTCTACTCTGTCCTATAGGGGTGCTATGAGTAGGTTTTGGGTTTTTTTGATATATATGTATATTGCTCTCAATCTTCTTCCAGTGTTGTGCTTAGAATTTTAATTTATTCTAATCCTTGGTTAGAATAAACAAAAAGCGTAAATTCTTTCTCCATTGATGTGTCTTAAGTGATAATTTGTGGGATGGTGGTATTAAATATTGAATCATTCAACTTTTAGAGTTACACCTATCTACTAGTGGTATGGAGTCCCTGGGTGGTACAAGTGGTTAACACTTTTGGATGCTAACTGAAAGGTTGGAGTCTCAAGTCCACCCAGAGATGCCTCGGAAGAAAGACCTAGTTAGTGATCTACTTCCGAAAAAGTCCGGCTCCTGAAAACCTATGGAGCACAGGTCTACTCTGACACAACATGGGGTCACCATGAGTCAGAGTCAAGTTGACAGCAACTGTTTTGGTTTGGTTTGGTTATTAGGGGTACGTGCCCAGAGGAATCCTACATACTTTCACCATGGTGGCCAAATAATTGGTTTTTGTCTCCAGAAATATTGGTAAATTACTTCATCTCGACATCTCTTCTTCCCTGCAGATCTCAGAAGGATCAGCGCATTCTACCTTTCTGGATGGACCTTTGTTCCATGTTTGGCTCAAACAAGAATCCACTATTTCTGGAAATCAATCAAAGCTTCCTTAGTGACTCCTCAGTGAGGCTTCTTTGTGAACAAATAGCCTCTGCCACCTGCAATCTCCAGAAGGTGGTGTAAGTAAAAGCTAATGTCGCTGGATTGAAAATCCCTAGGGCATGGCCAAGCTTCTTGTGTTTTAATATTGGAGCAATATTTGAATCTTTGTCCCAGACTTCAACCAGGTGCTCAGGATACAAGTAATTGAACGGGTTCCTGTCCTTTGTCTACTAGGAGAATCATATGAAGTAATTTTAATGAAATGTAAACTATGGTTTGGACAGCCATAGAACACCATAAGGGACATCAAGATCCTGGGGCAGTATTAGTCTTATTATGACAACCATACTGCTGTATGTAGACCAGGGATTTTCAACCTCTGTTGAACATTGGGGCTGGATATTTCCCGTTGGTATATGGGGAATGTCCTGTGCATTGTAGGATGCTCAGAAACATCCCTGGCATCTACTCACTAGATGCCAGTAGCACACATAGCCCTCCATAGTTACAACAACACAAAATGTCTCCAGTCATTACCAAATGTCCCCAGGAGGGTGCCCAGTCACCCCTGGTTGATGAACCTCTGATGTAGAGAGATGGAGAGCAACATGCTGGGACAAACTTTTGAGAACTGAGCATTAGTAAGTTACTGTCACTTGGGCTAAGGGGCATTGGTGATTCAGTGGTAGAAGTCTTGCTTCCATACAAAAGACCCAGGTTCGATTCCCAGCCAATGCCCCTCATGCACAGCTGCCACCCTTCTGTCATTGGAGGCTTGTGTGTTGCTGTAATGCTGAACGGGTCTTGGTGGAGCTTGCAAACTAAAACCAACTAAGGAAAAAGAACCTGGCAATCTACTAAACCCTGTAAATCATAACGGCCTGATCTGCAACCAGTCCATGGGAATGGCACAAGACGAGGCAGTATTTTGTTCTGTTGTGCATGGGGTCACCATGAGTTGGGGGCCAACTCAATCTTAAGCTAACAACAGCAGCAGCTACCTTTTTGCAAAAACCCATAGAAGAATAGCTTTCATTTGAAGGGGCTGCTTATGATTTCCCTTTTGCAAAAGTTTGAGATGACTAAAGAAGTTGGAGCCTCTAATAGTTTTTCTGTCGGGGCCCTGGTGGCACAGTGGTTAAGAGCTCAGCTGCTAACCAAAAGGTTAACAGTTCAAATCCACCAGCCACTCCTTGGAAACCCTGTGGGGCAACTCTACTCTGTCCTGTAGAGTCGCTTTGAGTTGGAACTGACTCAACGGCACATAACAATAGTTTCTAAAGCTTGAAAATATTGCAACCCCTTGTTTTTATCTATGCACAGTAGGTTCAGAAACTCAAGATCTCATCTTTGTTTTCTCTAGCCTCAACAATATCTTGCCTGCCAGTGCTTATCGGGATTTCTGCCTCGCTTTCAGTGGTCAAGAGATTCTGACACATCTTACCCTTCAAGGCAGTGGCCAGAATGATATGTTTCCCCTGTTGTGTGAGGTCTTGAGACACCCAAAATGCGACCTGCAGTACCTCAGGTACATCTCACCATTGCTAAGAATTCAGCATCCAAACAGAGCTGCTATGAGTTTATACAGTACTTCTCTGTGGATTAGAAAAAAACAGGGTCTCTTATTCTGATTAGGGAGCCCTGGTGGCACAGTAGTTAAGCACTTGGCTGCTAACCAAAAGGTCAGCAGTTCGAATTCACCACCACTCCTTGGGAACCCATTGGGCAGTTCTCCTCTGTCCTATAGGGTTGCTATGAGTCAGAATTGATTGGGAAGGCAATGGGTTTGGTTTTTGGTTATTCTGATTAGGGAGTGTCCCTGGGGTGGTGAAAGCAGTTAAGTGCTCAACTACTAACTGAAAGGTTGGTGGTTTGAACCCACCCTCCACAGAAAGGACTGACAATCTGCTTGCATAAAGAGATTATAGCCAAGAAAACACTATGGAGCAGTTCTATTCTGACACACATGAGTCTCCATGAGTCAGAATGGATTCAACAGCAACTGGTTTGGTTTTTGGTTTTTAATTCTGATTAGACATAGTACTACTCCATGGCACATGGTCCAGAATAGAACATAAGATGGAGTTCAGCTTCTATTTACCTTGAACACTGAACAACCTGGACAATCATACCCAACAACCTTGAGTCCAAAGAAACTTCCGGAATCTGGGTGTCACCCTCCATCAGAGCCTTTGTACATGGTTCTTACTTCCTATGTCATGATTCAGAATAGCAGCTACTGTGGCATCATTTTTTCCAGCCAATAACCCTTTAGGAACATCAAGTTGCCCCTTCCCTGGTGGTCTTCTGGTTTGAGAGCTCTCTCCTAGGGGAAGTTCTCCACATGGTTGCTTGGGGATGATTACCATTAACAGTCATGGCAGTCCAATGACTCTCACTTAACTGCATCAGAGTAGTGGCAGGGAGACACAGTTTAAGATAACTGGTCTCAAATTATGGCTTTATCTCTACTGACATGGCCTTGGGTTAACTATTTAACTAGGTATTTTCCTCATTAGGAGTCCTTGAGTGGTGCAAATGGTTAAGTGCTTGGCTGCTAACCAAAAAGTTGTGGTTCGAATCTACCCAGAGGCACCTTGGAAGAAAGCCTTGGTGATCTAATTCCGAAAGGTCACAGCCGTTGAAAACCCCATGAAGGGTAGTTCTACTCTGAAACATGGAGTCGCCAGGAGTCAGAATCGACTGGACAGCAACTGGTTTTCTCATTAGTAAAATGGGATATTTATCTCATAAGGATTTGAGGACTGAATGAAACCAAATGCAAACACTTATGCATTCAATTGTAGCTGTTATCATTTTTGGCTATTACTGATGGGCATCTTTTCCTTTACCTATGAGGAGTAACCAGGAAAACAAAAACATCCTGTGACTTTAAAATTCTGTTTACTAATGTGTTTCTCAAGGAGCCCTGGTGGCACAACAGTTAAGTGCTCAGCTACTAACCAAAGGCTGGTGGGTCAAACTCACCAGCTGCTCTGCGGAGGAAAGGAGCTGGCAATCTGCTCCCGTAAAGATTACAGCCTAGGAAACCCTATGGGGCGGTTCTACTCTGTCCTATAGGGTCGCTATGAGTCAGAATCGACTCGATGGCACGCAACAACAACCTACTTGTTTCTCAATGATTAAACTGAGACCCAAAATGGAAAGGAAGAGACTCCATATAAACTATTTCTGCTCGTTTTCTTTGACGCTATTAACATTCTACCTTATGTTCTAATTCTTTAGTTAGAGTCTACACAGGGGAACCAGATCTAAGGGCAGAAAGTGTTTCTAGCTGGGTTTTAGTGAATTTTAGCTGTGTGGCAGATAACTCCACTTGGTACTTCACGTGGTTTATCAGCTTCAAACAACTAACATGAGGGTGCAACTTTTATTTCCAACTGAAAGGGAGGACATGAGACTTAATGATGTTAAGTAACCTGATACATGATTTCATACCTAGTAAGTGGCAGAACCAATATTTTAAAAAAAAAACCCCACACCCCCACACCAATTCCAGGGGCCACACTGATCATCCTTAATGTTCCAATGAAGTTCTATTTGCACATGGTGTCTCCAGGCATAGAATATATGTACCATGTCGCTTGGTGAATTTGATTGACTGGGCTCCTAATGGGGTAGGCCTCAACATGTGGTATCTAGACCAACAGCAGCTACATCAGTTGGGAAGTTGTTCAAATGCAAATCTTGGGCCTTACCTCAGATCTTTGGAATCAAATTATTGGGGTATGACCCAGGAATTTAGATTTTTCTTTTTTTTTTTTTTTTTGCTTTTACTCGATGTTATATTTGAGAAGTCATCCATATTGAAGTGTTGTTGTTGTTAGGTGCTGTCAAGTCAGTTTTCGACTCGGAGACCCCATGTGACAGAGTAGAACTGCCTTATAGGATTTTCTGCACTATAATCTTTATAGAAGCAGATCACCAGATCTTTCTCCAGCAGAACTTCTGGGTAGGTTCAAACCACCAACATTTTGGTTAGCAGCTGAGTACTTTAATCATTGCACCACTGGGGCTTCTTCCAGGAATTAGTTTTAATAGGTCTTCCAGGTGATTGGGGGCGACTTAAAACATATCACTGGACTCTATATCTAACTGAGATGACTGAAGACACTGGAGCTTCTAGTAGTTTCTAAAGCTTAACAATATTGCAACTTTCTGTTTCTGTCTCTGCATGGTGTAGGTTTAGAAATTCAAGATCTTACGTTTGTTTTCTCTAGCCTCAAAAATAGATCTGAGACAGTATGTCTGACGTAGGGGCTAAGGATATGCATTTGCAGCTATCTCCCAGGTGCTGATGTAGCTGAACTAGGGACCACACATTGATAACTACTACTCCAGCTAATTTAGGCCAGATAATGGAGTGAGACAATTATATAGAGTTTTGGACTCTCAAGAAAATAACTTGCTCCTGTTTCTCCTGCAGGTTGGGATCTTGTTCAGCTACCACTCAGCAATGGGGTGATGTTTTCTCAGTCCTTGAAATCAACCAGTCCCTAACATGCCTCAACCTCACAGGCAATGAGCTATTGGATGAGGGCGTGAAGTTGCTGTGTACAACATTGAAGCACCCAAGGTGCTACCTACAGAAGTTGTCGTAAGTCTTTCCTCTCGTCTGTGGAGCATCTCTGTTTTAGCTCTGGGGCCACGGAATTCCAGCAGGGGTGTCTTAGTTATCTAGTGCTGCTATAACAGAAATCCCACAAGTGGATGGCTTTAACAAAGAGAAACTTATTTTCTCGTAGTCTAGTAGGCTACAAGTCCAAATTCAGGTCGTCGGCTCCAGGGGAAGGTCCTTGTCATCAGTCTTCCCCATGTCTAAGAGCTTCTCAGCACAGGGACCCCAGGTCCAAAGGACAGACTCTTCTCCGGGAAATACTTTCTTGGTGGTGTGAGGTCCTCCGTCTCTCTGCTCACTTCTTTTATAGCTCAAAAGAGGTTGCCTCAAGACACAGTCCAATCCTGTAGACTGAGTCCTCCCTCGTTAACATAACTGCTGCTAATCCCATCTCATCAACATCATAGAGATAGGATTTACAACACATAGGAAAATCACATCAGATGACAAAATGGTGGGCAATCATACAATACTGGGAATCATGACCTAGCCAAGTTGACAGATATTTTGGGGGGACACAGTTCAGTCCATGACAAGCGGTAACAACATTGAATTGAGAGCATGCTGGGTAACACATATGGACCCTCCTATGGATGGAAACACCTGGTCCCCATTTTTGGTCCCAGGTGCATGGCCCATGCATATTGTCCTCTTCTTCCTCTTCTTCATGGCTGTGATCACTAGCAAGGAGAGAGGGAAGGGAATTTATAGGAAAGACTGTAGCTGAGGACTCTAGCATTTGGAGGCACCCAAGAAGGTTGGACTTTGGAAGTGTTCCACCATCTTACCACTTGTGTGATGCTTCTGCAGGTTGGAAAACTGTCGTCTTACGGAAGCCTGTTGCAAGGATCTCTCTTCTGCTTTGATCATCAACCAGAAGCTAACACACCTGTCGTTGGCAAAGAATGAGCTTGGGGATGGTGGGGTGCGACTTCTATGTGAAGGTTTGCTTTACCCCGACTGTAAACTACAGACCCTGGTGTAAGTCTTCCCTGGCTGCCTTAGCTTATGTGTTTAGGTGTATGTATACGCCAGTCATACCCCTGTGCCCCTTATATTCTCACACCCATCCCCATGTTGCCCTATACCTCCCCACCTACCAAAATGGGTCTCATTGGGCTAAAACCAAGGTGTTGGCAGGGCTGTATTCCTTCTGAAGACTCTAGGGAAGAGTCAGTTTCCTTGCCTTTTCAGCTTCTAGGGGCTGCCTGCATTCCTTGGCTCATGGTTCCTTCCTCATCTTCAAAGCTAGCAGTAAAGCATCTTGAAATCAATCTCTCCCTGCCTCCCTGTGACACACCCGTCTGCATCCTTCATCACATCTCCTCCTCCTGACTCTGATCTTCCTGCCTCCCTCTTATAAGGACTTATGTAATTACATTAGGCCTACCCAAATAATCCAAGATAACCTACCCATATCAAGAACCTTAATGTAACCACATCTTCAGAGTGCCTTTTGCCATGTAAGGTACCATATTCACAGACTCCAGGAATTAGGACAAGGGCATGTTTGGGGACCATTATTCTGCCTACCAGGTCTCTGGGTGGCACAGTTTGCACTTATGCTGCTAACTGAAAGGTTGGCAGTTCAAATCCACACAGTAGCACCACAGAAGAAAGGCCTGGTGATATGCTTCTGTAAAGCTTTAAGACAGGAAAGCCCTATGGAGCAGTTCTACTCTGTAACACATGGGGTTGCCATGAGTTGGAATCAACTTGAGGGCAACACAACAGGTTTGGTGTCTTTTTTTTTTTTTTTTTTTTTTAATATTCTGCCTACCACACCACCCCATGACTTTATTTCCAAGCCTCTATTTCCAAGCTTGTCTAAAACCCATGACTTGAGATAAGCAATCAGGGTGTTGGAACATTAAGCCAGCAGATATTTTTCTATATGATTGACTTCTAGCCTGTGGAACTGCGGCATAACCGACAGTGGCTGCAATCATCTCTCAAAGCTTCTCCAACAAAAATCAAGCCTAACACACTTGGATCTGGGGCTGAATCACATAGGAGTTACTGGACTGAACTTTCTGTGTGAGGCCTTGAAGGAACCAGTGTGTAACCTGAAACGTCTATGGTAAGTTATACTTCAATTTTAACCTGTATCTGAAATGAAATATCAATATAGCAAATCCCTCCATTTGTGTTACTTGGAGGGGCAGTGGTGCTTCAGTGGTAGAATTCTCGCCCTCCATGCAGGAGGGCAAGGTTTGATTCCTGGCCAATGCACCTCATGTGCAGTTACCACTCGTCTGTCAGTGGAGGTATGCATTGCTGTGGTGCTGAACAGGTTTCAGCGGGGTTTCTAGACTAGGACGGACTAGGAAGCAAGGTCTGGCGATCTACTTCACAAAAATCAGCTATCGAAAACCCTATGGAGCACAGTTCTAGTGACACACATGGGGTCACCATGAATGGGCATCCACTGGACGGCAACAGGTTTGGTTTTGGTGGAAGGGTCTTATGAGATCAGCCTCCTCTTAAGCCTAGAACTCATCTCTTATGACCCTTTCTGGCTCACTCACTCTGGCTGCCTTGATATTCTATTTAATATCATAATCATATATAACCTCAGGGCCTTTGCACATGCTGTTTCTCTGCCTAGAGAATCCTTACCCCAACTCTCTCTATGCTTCTTTCATTTCGTTCTCTCAGGTCTTCCTTGACCATCATACCTAGCACCTTCAACTACTCCCTCTTTCTGTTGCCCTTCATAATATTCCTTACTTGTACCTGGCACGCTACATGTGTCACTGTTTCCAGTTGGCTAGAATATGCTCTGAGGGCAGAAGCTTTCATTGTTCACTGCTGGATTCCCAGTACTCAAGAGTGCCTGGCATATAGGATAGTGTCAATAAGCATTGATTGAATTAACCTTTGTGTTTCCCCATTAGATTATGGGGATGTGCTCTCATGCCTTTCAGTTGCATGGACCTCTCATTTGCTCTCAGATGCAACCAAAGCCTGACCACCCTGGACCTTGGCCAGAATCCTTTGGTGGCATAGTGGGATAGCGTGAAGCCTTCTAGTCTTCCTAGTGTTTCTCCTGTGACAATTGGTTCGGAGGGAACACAAACAGCAGTTTATTGTAGGCATCTGCCATTAATGTTCAGCTTTTATCTATTGATTTTGGTCTTCAGATAATTCTTCCATCTCTTCCCTCTGTTGCTTTGGCGGGTAAGGTGATTCAAAGGATGAGGTCAGCACTCAATCTGAAACCAAAATTCTTGGACTTCTGACATATTATTTAGTAAGTGAGGGGGAGCTATGGCGGTTAACCATGGTCACATTATAAAAATCAAACTGCAGATCTCCTAGGTGCTTTTAGAAAGAGTTTGTGTCTGGACTGTGTTGGTTATAGAGGTCTGGGAAGCCAGCGTCAGTTTGGAAGCCTACTGTTTGGAGTGAGTCTGCTGTCTCCTGGAAATAGTTCATATGTGAAACTATCACCAACTGGCTCTCAGCTGCTTGCTCATTGAAGCAAGTTGTCATTGAGTTCTGTTGTTTACTTGTTACCATGGCTATAAAGAACCAAGAGTCTCTTCCTAGAAGTTGGGAACTTTTTAAAATTCTCAGGTGCAGTGTAGACCACTGATGGCATAAAATAGTCATCATTGTGTATGATAGATGATGTATTTATTTAACACGAATCTCAGATCCAAAGGTACCGTGCTAGTCAAAAGAAGGGGCATGTGGACATTAGAGTTTTTTTCTTACATCTTTTTGTGAGTTCTCTCCCAATCTAGATAATATTGGTGAGTTTCCATCAAGGCATACTGCCCTCAAAGACAACAGTGAAGCTGTTACCTTAGACCAGCCTGTCAGATATTATTTTCTGGGTCTTTGAGTCTCAAGATAAGTGACTTCATGTGGAGATTGCTTTCTGGGTCATAAATCCTGGAAATGCTGATATGCCCTGGCCCTTCCCTTCTAAAATTCAGTCTTCTAGCTTATTTGAGTCTATCAGCTACCCTGTATCCTTCTAAATAAGCCCTTTAAAGTTAATGATATCCATTTTCTGTTACTTGCAGCCCTAACATCATACCTCATTCTTAGAGCAATACATTTAAGCCTTCTGGTGTGCTCCATCCTTCGGGTCTCATTTCTGAATCAACACTTGTAGTTGAACACAGATCTGGATGGTGGAACTGTTTTTTGCTTCTCTAACACAAGACATGATCTGAAAGGATTAATTGTGCTTGTTTTCTTTTTTTCTCAGAATCTCAGAGGGTCATATTTAAAAATGTCTTGAAGCTTCTTGGTTCTTATTTTAACCAGTTATTTTGATTGCTAACAAGATAATCTACTCAAGCCTAGCTTAAGGTTGTATGGTATATTGTGAATGTCGAACAACAAAATAAAAATTACTTTTGATGGTGTCAACAAAACCAGGACTACGTTGCTATCAGGAAACATGGCAGCTAATCTCCTTGATCACTTATTTTTATGCATATTTTGCTTTAATTATTCTCTCCCTCTGCCCACAGCCCCATTTCCACATACACATAGCTGAATATGGTTGCCGCTACCGATTGTCATCAAGTTGATTCTGATTCATGGCTACCCTACATATGTCAGAGTAGAACTGTACTCCATAGGGTTTTTAATGGCTGATTTTTTTTGGAAGTAGAGCTCCTTATGGTGACACCTCTGGGTGGACTCTAACCTCCAACTTTCTGTTAGCAGCCAAGCACGTTAACTATACCACCCAGGAACTCTTGAGTGTGGTTACCATGAGGTAAATCATAGAACTGAGGCTGGTATCATCTCAGGTCAAATAAATGGTAATGGCTAGCTAGTATCTTTTAGCCAAGGGGTTGATGGGAAGCTGGCCTTACTTGACTTGGTTCAAGCATATACGTCTCATCTGCTTAATTGGTACTCCTAGTCTACCAAGTAAGAGTTGTCAAAGTAAGTTATAGACTAGGTAGGCATTTAGAGCTACACCACAGGTAGATTTGGCAATTCAATCTCACTAAAAATATAGAATGATAAAATCACCTAAGCAACTAGTCACACAATGTGGCTTTATACCATTACGGCATTAATGTGATATTTTACCTGTCAAATCAGTGTGGAACTCTGTAACATAGCATATTCAAAAAAAGGTGGCCCCTGCTCTGTGAAGCCCTAAAGGATGAGGCTTGCAGGCACTTGGGAGTTTGGAATGAATTTCCTTGAAGCAACAAAATCAGAGGCAGAAGAAATCTTTTTTTTTTTTTTTTTTTTTTGGGCACTATGCTTAGAATTTATTTGGAATTTGTAATTCAATTAATCAATTGTGATTTTTTTTTTTTTTTTTTTTCTTTGTCCCCCAGGTTAAACATGGATGGATCTGATGTTCAAATGCAAAAGCTGCTGGAAGAAATCAAAGGAAGCAATCCACAACTGACTATTGAGAATGACAACCAAGATCCCAGAAAAAACAGACTTTCTTCTTATGACTTCCTTCTCTGAATCCCCCTGGAGTCATTTCTCCCACAAAGGTGATGGTGAATTCCCTACGAGTCTTCTCAGTCATAAGTTAGTTGGTGGCTAGATGCTGTCTTAGCTTTGGTCCTGCCTCTGGCTTACACAAAACATATACAAGCCACTTAGCCCTGTTATGTGTGAAATGCCTGTATCACAAGTATATCAAAAGAAATAAAGGCGAAAGCATTCATAAATGAAGCTGTACTTATTAATGGGTTCTGACAAAACTCAGGAAAAAAATACCTTATTTTTGGAGTATTTAGTGCAGGAAAGAAAAGTGACAGAAGTATTTGTGATCACATTGATGCATTTGCCTTACTAGTCATTGTGCACTTCTGGTTTTTCTTGGACTGTATAAGAGCTACCTGATGAGTATTCATTGTTAGAGTATCTCTCTTCCCAAACCTACTCTTATCTGGTCATGTCATTGTTCTACTTAAGTTTTTAATGGCTCCTACTTTACTTACAGAAAATATAATTCCATGGTATACATAGTTCTTCCATGGTATACATAGTTCTTCCTGTCTGATCTTCCAGCATTCCCTTGTGTGACATACACAATCCTAAAACTCATTAAAATAAGTTCAGAATTACTTTTTATTTAGCACTAATTTGCATCCAAGAAAATGACCAAAATAACTGATATGCACACACATATATGCATCTGCTTGTTCTTGGACACTTGTTGTTAGGTGTTGAGTTGACTCCGACTCATAGCGACCCTACGTACGACAGAAAAACACTGTGCCCGGTCCTGTGCCATCCTCACAATTGTTGCTATGTTTGAGCCCATTGTTGTAGCCGCTACATCAATCCATCCCGTTGAGGGTCTCCTCTTTTTTTGCTAACCCTCTACTTTACAAGCATGATGTCCTTCTCCAGGGATTGGTTCCTCCTGATAACATGTTCAAAGTAAGTGAGATGAAGTCTTGCCATACTCACTTCTAAGGAGCATTCTGGCTGTATTTCTTCCAAGACAGATTTGTTCGTTCTTTTGGAAGTCTGTGGTGTATTCAATATTCTTCACCAACACCATAATTCAGTGTATCAATTCTTCTTTGGTATGTCTTATTCATTCTTGTACACATACATTCACACATATCCTCAACTAATTCTTCCAACAACCCAATGGGGTAGATCAAATCATTACTTTTAACTGTGAGAATACTGATGCTTATAAGTTGTATCTTATCAAGTATCTACTCTGTTGGGCTGAGTAATGGCCCCCAAAAGATACCAGATCCCTACTCCCTGGAATGTGTGAATGTTAACCTTATATTGGAAAATGACTTTTGCAGATGTGATTAAGTTAAGGATCTTAAAATGGGGAGAATATCCTGGATTATCTGGGTGGGTGATAAGTGTGATAAAATCCTTGAAAGAGGGAGATTTTACTATAGACAAAAGAAGAATGTTATGTGATGCAAGCAGAAGGAAGCAGAGTCCAGAAGATTCTATTCCACTGGTTTTGAAGATGGAGGAAGGGTTCATAACCCAAGGAATGAAGCTCTAGTTGCCGGAAAAGGTAAGGAAATTGATTCTATCCTAGACTAACGTACCTATCTTCTCCTTCTCTCTCTCTCCTACTCTCCCTCTCCCCTTCCCCCTTCCTTCTCTGTTCTTCAGTATGACTGGTGGCCAGGAGATAAAAGCCCCAAGTGTATGTTATTGTTTCAGATACTTTCAGACACAAGATCTAGTCCATATTTAAATTCCCAGGAGTAAAGAAAATTTAAGTCTGAAAATATTGAGGTTGGCAATGAGGTAGAACAATAAGAACTTTCATGAACTTCTGTGAGAAGTATAAACCAATCTAACCACTTTATGAAGCTAACAAGAACAGATGTCCTGAATTGGAAACCTGCTCAGCACATTTGAAAAATATCAAAAACATCATTGTGGCTAAAATGGAGTGACTCAGCTGAGAGTAGAGTACTCTTGGGGAAATAGCCAAGGAGACAAATTGTAGAGTGACTTTTAGGACAAGGTTAAGGACTTTGGAGGAGCTCTGGTGGACAGTGGTGAAGCAGTTGGCTGCTAACTAAAAGGTCAGTGGTTAACCCACCAGCCACTCCACAGGAGAAAGATGTGGGGATCTGTTCTTTTAAAGGTTATGGCCTTGGAAACCCTATAGGACAGTTCTACTCTGTCCTCTAGGGTTGCTATGAGTTGGAATCAACAGCAATGGGGTTTTAGAAGGACTTTGGACTTTTTTCTAAGTATGACAAGAATCCATTGACATGTTCATTATTATTATTACAGGGAAAAGGAATAGCATGTCTGACAGCCTGAAAGGACCAGGCCCCTTGGAGAAATAAAAGGAGGTTTCTCAGACTGGAGCTTAAGGTGGTTAAGGTGAGGGGTTAGGCTTAGGGATAACCAGAGAAGAGCGCAAGGGGAAAAGAGTGAAACAGTAAGACAAGGGAGAAATGGGGAGGGTTTTGCACAGAGACAGGACAGGGTCAGCTATGCGATTTAGGAATGCTAGAGAGATCCATTTGTAACCCATAATAGGGTGGAAGTAAAAGGACAGGGTTTTCTGAGATCTACAATGTGCAAGATATCAGTGAGGAGACTTGAAGCTCTGCTAGATTCCTGGTGCCCCAAAATAGAGTCCTCATGTAGACAACCAAATAGACACTACTCCTTGATGGAGCAGATGCAGGTTGGGAGCCACCAAGAAGAAGCAACATGACCCTACTTTTCTCAGCTGCAGCCTCTACCTTCTTTCTCACTCTCCACACACTCACATGATCCCTCTCTTAGATATGACCGTGCCTGTGGTTCTAATGGTGGCACCCATAGCTATGTGCATTTGGTTGACCTCTATCCTGACTGATGTAATTTTTGGGTCTGCAGGAGTGGTGGGAGTGGTCTTTGGACAGCTCTGACTCTGTGCACCAGGAGTTTCTTCCGGCTGTGCCAGTCTTCTGCTAGAATCCCCACCAGGAGTACTAGAATCACAGCACCAAGGCATATCCGGACCAAATTGGCCTCGGTGTAGTGCTGGTGTGGAGGGCCTAGATAAATGGAAGATGAGAACAGGTGAGAAAATCTCATCTCCAGGTTCCACTCCAAGCCATATCCTGGATTTCTCATAGCCCTGTCCCCAATCTGAGATCCTATTCTCTCCTTGTTGGTATGCCAATCTCTTTACTAGAGTGTCCCGCCCTTCCCTACCAAGGGTTGGGGCTAGGTAAGCCCAACTCACGTAACATTACTTCTCTCATACAACCCCCCACTGGTGGCTGATATGACACCACCTGGTTATTTGGCTAATCTGTTTATAAAGGGATAGGGGGAGAGATGGAACTTCTCTTCCTCTGACTCTTTAAAATATCTCAACCTTTCCACCATATCTTATTGCCCAACTCCAGGCTCCATAATGATATTCCTCCATCCCCTTAACATCCTACAGACCAGAACCCCAAATCACAGTTGAAGCTCCTTATATGGAAAAGAGCTTTAGGTGAAGAGACAGAGGTGAAAGGGGAGTAGGTCTGGAGAGGACCACTTACCAGTTGGAGAGCCTGATTCTGTTGAAAAGACAGTGTTCTTAGATGTCCCTGGGAATCAAAATAGAGTCAGTGTGAGGGAATGGGACCATGTCTCTTGGCCCTGCCCTTGCTCCAAACACACACACTTGGGAGGCAGAATTCCATAGTATTTAAGAGCTTGAGCTATAAATTCAAGATGTTGAGATTTGAACCCCAAATCCATCACTTACTAGATGTGAGGTCTCTGGCAAGTGGCTCAACATCTTATAAGCCAGTTTTCCCATCCTGTCCAATGAAAATATTGTTTATATCATAGGTTGACGTCCCCAATCTCAAAGCCACCTCCATCACATTCCCTATCCTCAAGCCAAGGACTTTCCTGGGAAAAGTCAGATGGTTTAGTGAAGTAGATTAATAGCCTACAGCCTTAGAAGATGGAAGAGCAAACCCCATCCTCACATTCCTTTCTGCTGACCTAAAAGTGCCAGATTACTCACTGGTTGTGGAGCCTTTGTTCATAGGTGAGATGGTCAGTTTTCTGGAGGCTTCTGGGAATTCTAATCAGGAAGATTATAAGTAGTGGAGTAGTTTCCAGTTCTGTTCCACATCCCTTATGAGATATCTGGACTCTATGGACCCCTCCCCTTCTCAGACACACACTGCACAGACAGTGAGGAGAGACAAATTCAAAAGGCCTTAGGACTTCTCTCCATGGTGTAATAAGTGAATCCATTCATCAGTTGGTGGACATTTGGATTGCTTCCACTTTTTGGCTACTACAAATAACGCTGCTATGAACATTCAGATACACATTTTTAAGTGAACATAAGTTTTCATTTTCTTGGGTATATGCCTAGGAGTGGAGTTGCCGGGTCATATAACTATGTTTAACTTCTTGAGGACCTGCCAAACTGTTTTCCAAGTTAGCTCTATGAAAGTTCCAACTTCACATCCTCCCCAACACTTGTTATTGTCCTTTTTTATTATTGTAGTATTCTAGTTAGAATGGTAAATTTTATGGTATGCAAATTATATCTTAATCATGGAGGCTGGATGGACTCCTGAAATTACTGCCATGAGATAATCTTTAAACCTTAAACCAAAAATATCCCCTGAAGTCTTCTTAAAACCAAACAATAGTTTAGCTTAAGTAGTAAAAAATGTCTGCCTTGAGCATTATGCTCTTAAACACTGTATGGGAACAAATTGACAACAGCAACTCGAAAGATCAGATAGGAAGCTTAGGGGGCAGTGAGTTTGTTAATGGGAGAGGGAACAACTCAGAAGGTGAGAATGAGGACACAACTTGAGGAATGTAATCAGTATCACTGAACTGTACATGTAGAAATGGTTGGATTGGAGTATATTCTCAACAAAATAAAAATATATATACCTGGAAACAAAAAAGTGGATCATCAGGTCTACGTGAGCTCAGTTGATTAACAAACTGATACCAGCCAATGAGCACAGGAGGCCCACCTCTTTACTAAGGCCATTTTCTTAATTAGGGACTTCCCATTGTTTTTACATGGTCATTTAAATAGTTCCGGAACCCCCTCAATAAGTTTGTAGCTCTTATTGAAAGTGGGGACCTTCTCTGGGAGTCTTTATGGTAGAACCAGCTCAGCAAAGCCTAGTCTGTCTAGCTCACCTGTCTGTAGTATAACAAGAGCTTGGAGCTGACGTGTTCTCTGCTACTTCTCTTCCTATGAGTTTCATTAATCTTGTTTTAATTTAGATCTAAACACACTGTGGTACATGCATGCCATGCAATAAAAACAAATGAACTACTGGTACACACAACAACTTGGATGGATCTCAAGGGCATTGGGCTGAGTAAAAAAAGTCCATTCCAAAAGGTTACATACTGTATGATTTATATTACATTCTCTAAATGACCAAATTATAGAGTTGTTATTTGCTGTCAAGTCAATTCTGACTCATGGCGACCCCATGTGTTACAGAGTAGAACTGAGCTTAATGTTTTCTTGGTTGTACTCTTTTTTTGTTGTTGAAAATATAACAGCAAAACATACACCAATTCAAAAGTTTCCACATGTACAATTCAGTCACATTGGTTACATTCTTCGAGTTGTGCAACCATTCTCATCCTCCTTTTCTGAGTTGTTCCTCCCCTATTAACATAAACTCACTGCCCCCTAACTTCCCATCTTTAGTTGTTGTCACTTTGATCCCATATACATAATACTTAAAAAGAGCATAATGTTCAAGGCAGACATTTTTTACTACTTAAGCTAAGCTACTGTTTGGTTTTAAGAAGACTTCAGGGGATATTTTTGGTTTAAGGTTTAAAGATTATCTCAGGGCAATAGTTTCATGGGTTCATCCAGCCTCCATGGCTCCAGCAAGTATGGAGTCCATAAGAATTTGAAATTCTGTTCTACATTTTCCCCCTTTTGATCAGGATTCTTGTGTAAAATCTTTGATCAAAATGTTCAATAATGGTACTTGGCAGTAATCTCTACAGGAGCAGATCGCCAGACCTTTCTCCTGAAGAGCTGCTGGGTGGGTTTGAACCCCTAACCTTTAGGTTAGTAGCTGATCCCAAACCACATGCATCACCCTCGTTCCTTAAATTATAGAGATGGGGCACAAATTAGTAGTTTCCAGAGATTAAAAATGGTGAGGCTAGAGGGGATGAGTCTGACTATAAAAAGGTAGCACTTTGTGATGATGGGATAGTTCTGTATCTTGATTGTGGTGGTAGCTACATAAATCTACACCAGCAATAAATTGACATACAGCTATCCACACTGGTTATACCAATGTCAAATGCCTAGTTTTGGTGTTGTATTATAATTATATAAGATGTTAAAAATGGGGGAAACTACAGAACGACCAGAACACAATGAGAATATTGACACAGTGTGAAAAATGTATCTAATGTCACTGAACAACTTGTGTAGAAATTGTCAAATGGGAACCTAATTTGGTATAAACTTTCATCGAAAGCACAATAAAATAGTATTTTTTTTAAGTGGGGGAAACTGAGTGAATGGTACATGGGAATATCTCTGTCTTTACAATTTCTTGTGAATCTATGTTGTTGTGGTCAAGTCGACCCCGACTCATGGTGACCCCATGTGTTCAGAGTAGAACTGTGCTCCATAGGGTTTTCAAGGCTGTGACCTTTCAGAAGCAGATCACCAGGACCATCTTCTAAGGTGCCTCTGGGTGAGTTTGAGCAGCCACCCTTTCGGCTAGCAGTCAAGCGCTTAACCATTTGTGCCACTCAGTCACCCTTCAAATCTATAATTATTTCAAAATATAAAGTTTTAAAAATCCAACTAGAAGTACACGCACACACATAGTGTGATACTGTTTTATGTGTCCCTGCCTTGATTTGGCGTAACACCCCCATACTGCCCTCAACCCCATGTATCTGCAAATTCTTGGTCATTTATGGCCCTTTTTAACATTCTCTTGTTCTTGGGACCTAAGACTGCTACTGAGACACAGAAAATGTTGGAGATGCCACAGCCCTAGCAGATTATTTCTTAAAGCGCAGATTATCATCCAGGACACCAGAATCAGCTGAGATGTTTTTGAACATGGAGAGATACTGTGACCCACACAAAACTTAATGCAGTGGTTTTCATAGTGGGGTCCCCAGACAAGCAGCATCAGCATCACCTGAGAACTTCTTAGAAATAAAAATTAGTGAACCAGAAGAACTAGATGGTGCCCAGCTACCACTACAGTCTGTTCTGATCAGGGCCACAATACATGGACCCCTATGGAGAAAAACATGGAACAGAACTCATATTCTTAAAAAGTTCAGATTTACTGAGCCAGTTGAGACTAGAGGACTCCCTGAGACTATTACCCTGAGATACTCTTTAAACCTTGACCTGAAACTATCCCCTGAGGTCACCTTTCAGTGAAATAACAGATTGACATACAAAATAAAGGATATTAACCATGAATATGCTGCTCCATTAAAAAAAAAAAAAACATCTATTGAGACCAAAAGTTAAACAATTACTCTAAAACAAAAAGAGATAAGGGGGCAGGGAAACTAGAGTACTAGAAATGGAAGAACCAGAATACAATTAAGGAGAATGTTGGCACATTGTGAAAGCATAACTAATGTCACTGAACAATTTGTGTAGAAATTGTCAAATGGGAACCTAATATGCTGTGTAAACTTTCACCAAAAACAATATATTTTTTAAAAATGAAAATTATTGGACCCTACCCCAAACATCCTGAATCAGAAACTCTAGGGGTGGGGCCTAGATGTCTGAACTTTAATAAGCCCTTTGCATGATGCTTATAAGGATCCCTGGTGGTGCAACAGTTAAGGAGTCAGCTGCTAACCTAAAGGTCAGCAGTTCAAACCTACCAGCAGCTCCGCAGGAGAAAAGACCTGGTGATCTGCTTCCATAAAAGATTACAGCCTAAGAAACCCTATGGGGTAGTTCTACTTTGTCCTATTACAGGGTCGCTATGGGTCAGAATCGACTTGACGGCACCTAACAACAACATGATTCTTACACATATTAAAATTTGAGAACCACTGAACTATAGCAAAAGGAGCCCTGGTAGCTCAGTAGTTAAAGCGATCGACTACTAACTGAAAGATCAGCAGTTTGAAACGACCAACCACTCCACAGGAGAAAGATGTAGCAGTCTGCTTCCGTAGAGATATACAGCTGTGGAAACCCTATGGGGTTGCTATGAGTTGGAATCAACTCGACAGCAGTAGGGTGGGGAGCTATAGAATCAGGCTCAGAAATGGAGTACAGGAATCTACAATTTGACGAACTGCACAGGTTATTCTTCTACACTTTAGATATTATAAACCACCCATCTACAACAGAATAGAGACAAAGTATAGATCAGCATATTAATATCTATTTTTTATTCTAGGGAGCCCTGGTGGTACAGTGGTTAAGAGCTTAGCTGCTAACTGAAAGTTGGTGGTTCAAACCCACCAGCTGTTCATAGAAGAAATATGTGGCAGTCTGCTTCTGTAAAGATCACAGCCTTGGAAACCCTAAGGAGCAATTCTACACTGTCCTGTAGTGTCACTATGAGTCAAAATTGACTCGATGGCAGTGAGTTTATTTATTATTCTACTCTCTTTACAGGCAGAAATAAAGAATTTTTTAAATAAGGCAAATTCATGAAAGAGCCAAGTGAACTAAATCGAGAGATCTAGACCGAGAGAAGGATGGGTTAACATGCTTCATTCCAGGCACTGTGGAGAAGCCTACAAAACTTACCTGATACAAAGGAAGATGGCTCTGCAGATAACCAGCTGGGAGTCACAGAGGTTCCTGAGAAATCATAAAAGGAGAGAAATCTGTGCTTCTGTATGTGGATCCTGAGCAAATATAAAACATGTCTGCAACCCAGCTGCCTCACCTAGAGAATAAGTATGAAGAAGCTTACATCACTGTTTTGTTGTGGATATTTAAATATCATTTGAAAAGCACACATCCCGTCTCCTGGCACATTCTGGGGCTAATTAATAATGATGAGACCAATAGCTGTCTTCCCACCTTTCCAATCTCAGTTCTATTCCTCCTTCTGGATATCCATAACTATATCCTCACTTTGTCCTGGGAGCAAAACCAGCATCTTGTCTCCTGGGGAATCAATGAGGGGAGAGGAACCGTGGAATAAGTTGGTGGAAAGGGGCAGGTATCACATATGAGGGAATCCCTAAGCAATACAGTACAGTCCTTTTTCATCTCCCATCACACTGCTAATCTCCTTCCCACCACAGTGTGTTTGCACATACAATTCCACCCACATGCACCCTGCTCCACCTATTCCATCTACCTAGTTAGTTCTTAAAATCCATTGCTGTGGAGTCAATTCTGACTCATAACAACCCTATAGGACAGAGTAGAACTGCCCAATAGGGTTTCCAACGCTGTAATCTTTATGGAAAAAGACTGCCACATCTTTCTCCCGTAGAATATCTGGTGGGTTCGAGCCATTGATCTTTGGGTTTGCAGCTGAGCACTTAACTGCTGCACCACCAGGGCTCAGTCAGCACTTACTGTCCCCTACAATCCAGATCAAATATTGTTTCCTCTGAGAAGCCTTCTCAGATCACCGTCCCTTCTAGGTTCTAGCAGCACTATGTACTTCTAATTCATAGTGCTTATCAGAGGCACAATTATACATGTGTTGGATGCATCTTTGATTAAAGGCTGTTTGCTCTACTAACTATGTATGTATGTGTGTGTAAGGAAAAAACACTATATTGAAAGGAAAGTTTACTCAATTGTACAATCAGCCCCCAGCGAAGCACTGGCCACCTGAAGTGTCACCCGAAAAAAAACAAACCTGTTGCCATCGGGTCGATTCTGACTCATAGTGACCCTACAGGACAGAGTAGAACTGCCCCATAGAGTTTCCAAGGAGCACCTGGTGGATTCTAACTGCCAACCTTTTGGTTAGCAGCCATAGCTCTTAACCACTGCACCACACTTTAAATATATTGGATGAAAGAAGCAATAAATGAACGGGAACTCAAAAAATGTAAATCTATAGAGACAGAAATAAGATTGGAAGTTTCCTGGGTCTAGAGAGATGAAAATGGAGAATGATTGCAAATGGGTATGAGGAATCTTTTTGGGGTGATTGAAATGTTCTAAAATTGGATTGTGATGATGGTTGCACAACTCTGTAAAGTTACTTAAAATCACTGAATTGTATATAACAGGTGAATTTTATGGTATGTAAATTATGCCTCAGTAAAGTTGTTAAAAAATAAAGATACCTGAATGGAATGATTCATACATTTGTCAAATATGTATTAAGCACCAACAATAGCCCAGAAACTGTTATTAGTACTGGGGTACAGCAATAAAGAAATAGGACCAAAATGTCTTCTACCTTTCTGGAGCTTACATTCTAGAGAAGACAGGTAGATAATAAACATCACAAATCAGTATAGTATATAATATATAAGTGTAATGGAGAAAAATTAAGCAGACAAGATGGCTAGTATGTGGCAAGAAGGTGACTTTTGATGGAAGACCTGAAGGAGGTGATGGACTGAGCTATGAGAATACCTGACGGCAGAGCATCCCAGCAAGTGCAAAGCCTCTGAGGCAGTAGTAAGCCTGAATATTCAAAGTCAAGAAGCCTAGTGTCTGTAAAGCAGAGTGAACGAGGAGGAGAGCAATAGATAGGTGATCAGAAAGGTAGAGAGGTGGAATAAGTTTGCACAGAGCCTTAGAGGCTTTGGTAAAGAGTGATGGGAGCCACTGGCCAACTCTGAACAAAGGTTTGAAATAACCTGACTTAAGTTTTTAAAGGATCCTCTGGCTGCAGTTTTGAAAACAGTCTAAACGGGTCAGAGACGGAAGCACAGAAACCAGCATGGAGACTATGAAAGTAATCCAGTTAAGCGATGGTAGACAGTAGAGCAATGGAGATGCTGAGAAATTGTCAGATTATGGATAGGTTTTGAAGATGTGATCAGGAGCATGAGTTGAGAAATAAGACCAAGATTTTTTTTTTAAACCCTCTGAGGACTGTAGAAGAAATGCATATGGTGTGTCTTTTGAAAGAAACACCCTTTAAGAATGGAAGACGAACTGCTTTGAGCATTGTGCTCTTTTAAAGAATCATTTATGTGAGATCAAGTTGACAACAGCAGCTCAAAAGGTTGCATGGGAATCTTAGGGGACAGTGAGTTTAAGATAATGGTGGTGGCATAATTTGGAAAATGAGAGCGAGAATGGTAGCACAACTTGAAGAATGTAATCACTGTCACTGAATTGTACATGTAGACATTGTTGAAATAGTGTATCTTTGGCTGTGTATACTTTCACCAAAATTTTTTAAAAAATGTTTTAAAGAATCTAAAAAAAAAAAAAAAAAAAAAAAAGGAAGACTGCTCCATGCTACAACATGAAAGAAGCTCAAAAACATTATGCTGAGTGAAAGAAGGTAGAGACAAAAGTTCAAATATATGATTCCCTTTATATGAAATGTCCAGAAAAGGCAGATCTACATAGAGAGACAGAAAGTAGATCAGTGGTTGCCTGGAGCTGGGGGTGGGAACAGGAAGTGGCTACAAATGGACACAAGAGATCTTTTTGGGTTAATGGCAATACTCTAAAATTAGATTGTGGCGATGATTGCACAACTCCTTAAACTTTCTTAGAAGCGTTGAATTAGACACTTAATATGGGTGAGCTTTAAGGTATATACATTATACCTCGATAAAACTGTCAACAACAAAAGAATGGCACACAACTGTTAGTCAATAATGACCTCTCTAGCTAAATTTGAATGAAATACATTTTTATTTTACCCTGTAGTCACTTCTAATCCACTGATGACTAGGAAGATAAGAATTCTGCCATTGCTAATAGAATTACTAATCTCTATATCGAGACATTTCAAATAATCTGGTGGCTTCAAATACTAGTGAAAATATATAAGTCATAAAACAATGACTGGCATGTAACATCAATCCAAAAAAAAAAAGACAAAAAACAAACCTGTTGCCATAGAGTCGATTCCGACTCATAGCGACACTGTAGGACAGAGCAGAACTGCCCTATAGTGTTTCCAGGGAGCAGCTGGTGGATTTGAACTGCTGACATTTTGATTAGCAGCCGAGCTCTTAACCACTGTGCCACCAGGGCTCCATAGCATCAGTAATGGTATTTAAATTGCATCTGTTGCTATAAAGGATTTAGCAGCAAGATTTTTCACAAAGTTACCTTGTACTTAGTTTATTAAAAATAAGAAAATCTGAACATTTGACAGTGGTATGAGAGTCATTTCACAGTGTTCTTCCTACAACAGTGGTATTTTTTAATCAAGTAATTACTGCGAGTTTTTGTTGTTGTTTGCTTGTTTGTTCGTTTTTTGAAAACCCAACAAGACACAATGCTTTATTCATGGTATTAAGGTTTTTTTTCCTTACTGTATATGCCCTGTAGTAGACAGAGAAATACCCTCATATAAATGTTCATGTCCTAACACTGACGTCTGTGAATATGGTACCTAATATAGGAAAGGGAACTTGCAAGATGTGATTCAGTTAAGGACCTTGAGAAGGGGAGATAATCCTGGATTACTCAAGTGGGCCCAATGTACTAAGGGTCCTTAGAAGACGGAGGCAGGAATGCCAGAGTCAGAGAGAGATGTGAAGATGCTATGCTTCTGGCTTTCAAGTTGGAAGAAGGTACTATGAGCCAAGGAATGCAGGTGGACTCTAGAAGCTGGAAGAGGCAAGAAATGGATTCTCCCCTACTGCCTGCAGAAGGAATGCAGCCCTGCTAACACCTTGATTTTAGCCTAGTAAGACCCATGTCAAGGGCCTTGGTGGCACAGTGGTTAAGTGCTAGGCTGCTAACTGAAAGGTCGGCAGTTTGAACCCACCAGCCGCTCCGTGGGAGACAGATGTGGCAGTCAGCTTCTGAAAAGATTACAGCCTAGGAAACTCTATAGGGCAGTTCTACTCTGTCCTATAGGGTTACTATGAGTCAGAATCAACTCAACGGCAATGGATTTGGTCGGGTTTTTAAGACCCATGTCAGACTTCTGACTCTCAGAACTGTAGGATGTTAAGTTGTGTTGTTTAAAGCCCCTAAACCAAAACCAAACCCGTTGCTGTGGGGATATGTGCCATTAAAATATGGATGTATAAAGGCCTCTATGCTGCACAACATGTTGAGACTTGTCCCCAACATGTTGAGACTTGTCACGACTTGTTTCTCCAAACCCGTTACTGATTGGCTTGTTTACCTGAATTCCTCCTCCCTTGCCCAAAACTTATTGTTATTCACCCAAAGCCCATTGTTCTGTTATTTGCTTCACTGTTTAATGTATTGACTATAAAATAAACTCCTGGGACTGAAGCTGGGTTCAAGTCCTCAGAGTGACCCTCCTGGCCCCACTTCTCTGTAAGAGTTGTGGCATTGGTTACTGTCTACACCGCCCCGACAACCATCGCCGCTGTGACACATTGCCATCTAGTCGACTCCAAATCATGGTGACCCTACAGGACAGAGTAGAACTGCCCCATAGGGTTTCCAAGGAGCAGCTGGTGGATTCAAACTGCTGACCTTTTGGTTAGCAGCCGAGCTC